CATGAAGGTAAGTCTATCGCACACTCCTTATAACAAATATTTAATCTCATTAAAGATTGTTACTTCTGCTAACCTGAGTTTCGAATCATTTTCAGCCTTCAGAATGACAAACAGATCTTCAAGATTGGCGCTTGATAACAGCTCTTTACTACTGTCAAACCGAACCTCCCACCCACCTCATCTTTATTCTGTTGGCTTGTCAAAGTCACACATTTTTGAAATCCGTTTACCCTCGTAGGAGAATAACGAGAGCTTCTTATTAAAGGCCTGATAGTTTGTGCTGTATTGTCCTACAATTACATTATCTTTGAGGAAATGAAATTTCAAATGTGCAAATCTGGTCCTAAGGAGTGAATTCTCCGTGTTTTTCATCCGACTCAGTCCCACCCCCATTGTTCGCTGCGAACCACCAGAAAGAAGGAGCAATCGGAAATTCTTCTTCCTCTTCTCTTCTCAATTCCAAATGCCATTAGCTGTATTTATTACTTTGGTGCCGATTTGAGAAGGTTAAAATATTGTCTGCTGGGTGATGAAATGCACTTAATGGGGTTTGTTTAATAAACAAACGAGGTATTCCAATGCGCGTTCGATGTCGTGTACTTCACAAATTCAGAGTAGGTCACGGTTTCGTATCCATTAGGTGGGCAGTTTGCCTGATTCTTTCACTGATTTATTGTGTAGTGGTAGTGAGTATTGAGTGGTTGTCACTATTTAACTGCTATCTGGAATGAGTGGCTTTGTTAGTTTACGATTGGCTTTTCTTTATTGCTTTCTAGGCATCATTTGCTTATAGCTCAAGACATTTTTATGCTATCGAGGGTGCTAGGAAATCTGTTTTGCCGTCACTTAGATAGATCCACTCGATGGATATGCCCAGACTACAGGTGATGTGGATTCAAATGGATAAGCTAAGCTTGGACTTCGGAAGGTGCCGACTTTGGCCCCAGTTAACTGCCAAGATGACTGGGGCTATGTGCGTCCATCTGTTGAAAAGGCTTATAAACGAGAAGGGGCAGTCACATTTGGAATTGATTATCTCGTAGCAAAACAGAAACGCTGTTGATTTACGCTTCTTTTTTTTCGAATCTCCGCGTTATTTATGCCTACATTTTCGAGCTTAGCTGACATCACCATCATCATCATCATCTTACATTTCCACGATGTACAATTTCAGAACTATTTTTGTCTCCTTCCAAACCGATGGCAGAGGAAGTCATCGTGATGAGAAAGAGACACAAAATATGTTCTTCTAGATCCTCTCAACAGTCGTGTGGAGTGCGTAATAGACTCACCTCCACGTGGTGCACCCGGGGCAACATATACTCATACGGCAAAAAGGTCTATAAACCATCTGACTTCAAACTGCCATGACCCCACTGTATGTCATATTCGACTACTTCCACAGTGCTAACCACACTTTTTTCTACCTTTGTATCTGTCTGTCTCTTTTATATCTGTGAATCACTCTTCTATTCCCTCTCTCGACTTGTGTGACTTTGATGTTCCTCCTCCTCTCTGTGAAGCCTGAAGTCAACTAAAGGGCTAATGATAACTATCATAAAGCCTGGCATTTGATAAAAATAAAAAAATAAACATGTTCTTCTAGATCCTCTCAACAGACTAGTGTAATTTAGTCCAAAGGAAAAGTCTCCCAGTACAGCGGGGGCCGAACACAAATTTTAAGTCCCAGAAGTTATTCGAAAGCCAGAAATTTGCAGACACTTTTTATTATCACTAAATTTCAATTTCTGGGAGCTACAAAATAGGCTAAAAGGCGCGCGGGTAAATGGGAAACAAAATCAGAAAGGGAACAGCTGCCTCCGGGAAGTTTCGTATTACAAAATTGCTCTTCCCTCACTCTCTCTCTCTCTCTCTCTCCCTCTCTCTCTCTCCCAATTCGAAAGTTGTTTCTCCATCTCAATTGGCAGTTTTTTTACAAAATGTGTACAAAAGGCGAGGAAGAGGCTTGAAATCCCTCCTCCTCCTCTCCTCTCCCCTCCCTTCCTCGCACTAACTAAAAAAATAAGTAGATTTCAAGACTTTGTTGAGGTCGAAGTTGCCTGAAAGAAAAACAAAGGTTAGGAAATGTTAGACCCTGCAAAAGAAACAACAACAAGAACAACTAAAAACGTTGGGGGGGGGGGGGAGATATTGATTTTCAATAGCTTCTAACTTGCTTGAATTAAATTTCCCCCCAAGAAGTTAATGAAGCTAAACGAGTAGCGGTGGTAGCGGTGTTTATTACGGTGGTTTAGAGGGGGCAATAAAAAAGGTGGGATAACCATAAAATTCAATATTTTTTTTCTAAATTTGTAAATTTGAGATGCGTTTGGAAAGGTTCAGAGCCTTAAAGTACACTTAACGGTTATGAGAGGAAACCCCGAAGTGGAGGTGGTGGTAGTAGTAATTTTCTAAAACAAGCAGATATGGGACAAAAGAGAGTTGGGGCCAGTAGAAGTAGGAGGGGAAGTGGGTCAAGGGGATCAAACGAATCCTAGGAAATACACAAACCTAAATTCTCCAATAAACATTGACTTTACCAACCCCTCCCCCCTCCATGTCCGGGAGGAAGAATTTAGAGATGTGTCAAGTCGGAGGTGGGGAAAAAACTTCACTCCACGAGTGTAAAAATTCTTATTTCCACGAGACGACACGGCTAAGACCGACTTTGAAGTCAGAAGAAAACTAAATTACCGAGTCCCGAGGGTTAGATCAAAAAATCAATGAAAAGGAAAAGGCGGAGCCATAAGTTATAAATTTTGAGTTGAGTACTAACATTTAAAAACTGCGTTGAAGAAATCAAGCCTTTATAGAATAAGGTGTGCAGAAATAGTTAACTGGAGGTCATAAAACCCTAGAGATATGTATATTTTTTACCATACACCATATCAAATGGACGTCTTTCTTAGAAGGTCATGGTCAAACTTCCAATCGTGAACCTAGGCTATGAATGCTAATGTCGGGAAGCTTTCCAGAAGATGGTGATACTTGAATGACTTCTGGATCTTGTCCAATAGGTGTGCTAATGAACTCCGACAATTCAAATTACATGCAATTGGCAATATAGCCTAATCGATAAATTGCCATGTGGACTACGATGTATTGATGCAATTTGATACCAAGAGGACGGAAAACACATGAGATAGTAAAGCACTCATCGCATGTCATATTTTCTGCATTGATGGCAGTAGAAGCAATCGCAGATACTATATACGGGGCTATCAAATTCGTGCCAAGTAGGAGGCTGTCGAAAGTAAAACACTTTCAGCGGGTATAAGAAGAGGTAACAAACGACGAGGGGGCGGGGAGGAGTGGAGGGGATGGGATGAGGGGGGTGAGATGGAAACAAGAGAATGTGCGGATTGATTTGTCGTTTGTTAGCAGCTGACAGAAATGTCAGCGCTCCTGTCAGAGAACCGTCGAAATGGATAGAACTGTCGAAGAGAGCAAATTTTAAATAAAACATGTGGAGGGGGGTGGTGGTGGGTG